GACTTTGACTTTGTACGAGCAGTTCATTCCGAGACAGTAGCCCAGTCAGAGCTATGCCTGCAGCAAGAAAACACCACAGCAGCGAGTCTACTAGTAGCCGTGCCGCAACCAGTTCAACCATCGGTTATCAGAACCTACCGGTCCAGCCAACCAGCCTCGCCGCAGCCAGCATCGACTAACTTCTCAACAAAGTAAATGAACAGTGAGGGTGAATCAGTGAGAATAGGCAAATAGCAAGTGCGTGTGGTGAACATTAATAACGACTCCAAATACAATATATATTGCTCTGCCTACAGCTAATGGAAAATACAATACAAATAATTGTAAAATATTTTACAATTATTTTTTTGAATGACTCTGCAAAAAAATCCTCAATTGTACAAACTGACATTTCACTGTACATGTTGTCAGTACACTGCAGTTTGTCAGTTGGTTACATAGCCAAATAATGACAACAGTAAAAAGTTGACCTTTTTTTTAAAAATCATGTCAGTATAATCTCTATATTATCCATGTTTGAAAACAGGTGCAAATATGCTGACCAGTTGTATAAGAAACTAAATAGCCATATCAAGTCTTATCTATCTTCACAAGCACCCATAACAGGCTTTTTGTGACGGAGAGGATTGTGATGTGAACTTCAGTCACCATTATCTGAATCAAGGACTTCCACATGCAGGTACAGACATGGTAATATTATCGAGAGGCATAATGTAGTAATGGGGAGATTATGCCATGATGCTAGACAATGTAGCACAGTTCCAAAAAGGAGAGAAGCTTCCAAACCCATTGGTAATCCCAAACTAGAGCTGTGGACAGATGAAATCCTGCCAGAAGAATGGTTCAGGGCAGTAATATACAAGAGAGGTGATAACTCTGGTGTCAGTGCAGTTCCCGAAGGGCTATGATACAGTGTGTACAGAATATATCAGCCTTGAAGGGACTTCGGGATCCCTAAGAAAACGGTAATCTAGTCAAATGGGCCTACTGAACTGGAACTCCAGGACTCAAATTCAAGTACTACTGTTTTAGCACTGCTCTGAAGAAAGCAATAAGAAATACTAAAATTAACCTGAACAGAATCAATTTATTAGAACCTGACATTTCGCAGGCAGATGATCCTCGACAACCGGTGACTAGTTTCAGGAGTACAAGCATAGATGGAGGGCAAAATATTAAAGGCTGGCCTAGAGGTGAATGCAACAGAACAAAGTACATGAGCCTTGTGAAGACTGACCCACTCTTACGATTGGTTTTGAATGCTGAAATATTTTGGTGCTTTCATACCAGGAAAAGAACTGAAGAATCATCACAGCAGCCAATCAGTACTGTTATAGTTTACAACAATATATTTACATGAAACACTAAAGCAAACAATATGCAAACAAAGCTATCCTTCAGAGCGTCAACTTACAAGCAGCATACCCCAACATATTGTGATCTTGTGGGTTGCGGTATCATGTAGTCCTACAAGAGAATACCAAGCATTTGAGAGTAAAATAACTGCTTGCAGCTTCCAGGCTGATGCCCACCCATCAAGCTACACTGTGTCCTGACCCAGAAGATCACAATATAAACTTTCATTGCTGTGGGAACCTCGAAACTCATTGCTTCAGAGAATATACGCATTGCTTCACAGACTCCTCATTGCTGCCCCTCCAGGGCTGCCTACAAATAGAAAGTATAATTCTCCTTCAATCTGCCTCTCCCACTCTTGACTTCCAAAATCGTACACGATAATGTTCTGCTCACATGAGATTGTTGCACAATGGTCATGTGAGTGGAAGAGATATTGGGCACTCCTTCCTTGGTAAGAAGTCAAGCTTCTCACAGATGACATGCATAGGGCACATGAGGAATTCCTGTATGCTCCTTGCTTGCTTCATGCCAAACACTGTCTTTCACCATGAACAATGGTTTTTTTCAGTGGTGCCACCCAATCTCAGAAAAGAATAAAAAATGTAAAAAATACTCAGTTCTCAATCACAATACATTTACTAGCACTGACAGTACTGCTTACTATACACTATACCGCTCATTAACCCATTTCATGCAAGCGCATTATCCAATCGAAATACGAAATCAAGATCTTCAATTTGCAGAAAATCTCACCCAAAAGCTAGTGTCCACACAGGACTTCATTCTCTTCCTCCGGTTGGCTAAATGTTATCAAGAACTGTAATTCTCCATTGGGATGCCATCAAACGCCTGCCAACATTAGTAAAAATGTCTGAGAAGACTCTCAACTACTTCCCTTACACTAAATTGCCCTAAGCACCCCAGTGTAAAGCAAACTTTGAATTTCTCATGAGTTGCAGGGGGGGGGCCCCATTGCAGTTCTTCCTAAACAGTAATGTACCATAAGCACAACACCCTGACACCTTACATAAAAAGTAAACAGCATAACCTTCTTCTGTCGTGTATATAAGCTGACCAGGAACGCCTGTTTTTTTTTTGGTGGGGGGGGTGTTAAATAATTCATGATCCAAATAACAACCCTTACTTAAATGCAAACTATTATTTGATACTCTCTGCTCTTATTATTGACAGAAGAATCCTTAATTATTCCTATTTATTTTATATTTCTATGTACCCTGCATGTCCAAACTACAACTGTAACCAGCCATACTTGGCGTAAATGGCAACCAATCAAATCGCATCATTTTAATCATGTGAACCAACGGTTACATCCATTAATACCATGGTAACTTATGGGTCACGTCGGGAGAGTACTCTGTGCCTTGGTCTCCTAAGCATCACACTGCTCTTCCCTCTATTTCTCTTTCTAGCACGTATCAACTATCAGTTCAGGGCGTCCAGAGATTCTAAGTTCTCTGTTTTCAGCAATGACCCCAATCATCCTCTTCACCATTTACATTGTATTATGGTTATTATGGTGCTCACCCTCGCTGGAGGTTGCTGGTCTGCCGACTGTGATGGCGCTTCTGTTGTGTGTCCTATGCTCTGTCCTGCGGCAGGCGTAAGAAGTACAGTTGAAGCACCCACAGGGGAAACAAGTTCTAGCGACATCTAAACGTGGAGGTGTGAGTTTACTGTTTCTAGGTATGCGCAAATAATTTCAATTACTCGTGATAGATCGCGCAAAGTCGTTCATATTAGCGGGATAATTCAAACTATTCAAATGTTACAAAGTGGATAATTTTCAGTCCCGTGTGACATACAAGTTTACAACACTTCAGTCTTTATTCACCCTACATGTTTCGATTCAAAAGAATCATCCTCAGAGGCGCACCACTACGATCAGGAAACACTGTCACATAAGATGTTTTAACAATATGCACTTAAGCTATGAATAATGCTCACTATATAAATTTTTGTTATTATCACAGTTAGTTCCGATGTTTGCCTTAAGCATTCACGATTACGCTTCTTGAAGTGTAGATTTACGTATAATGCTGTTTCTTTTAAGTGTATTTACTAGGTATTCTGATTGGGATTTCCCACTCCACACAATATGATGTTCACCTTTCCATACAGTAGCTTCCCTATGTATTAAAAATTGTATTACAATTTCTTTTGTATGTTAAAAATTAATTATTATGTTAAAATATCGTGAGCCAACATTGGGTCATGTTTTCCTCCTGATGGTGGAAGATGTCGTTTATTTTTCTTGATTGTATGTTCTTATTGTTAGTTGTGTAGTTTATGTGTGTGCTGTGTCGTTTGTACTGTTTTGAAGAGTGCACTCTACACTACATGACTAACAATAAGAACACACAATCAAGAGAAATAAACGACATCTTCCACTATCAGGAGGAAAACAACATGATCCAATGTTGGCTCACGATATTTTAACATAATAACTAATTTTTTACATACAAAAGAAATTGTAATACAATTTTCAATACATAGGGAAGCTACTGTATGGAAAGGTGAACATCATATCGCGTGGAGTGGGAAATCCCAACCAGAATACCCAGCAAATACACTTAAAAGAAACAGCATTATACGTAAATGTACACTTCAAGAAGCGTCATTGTGAATGCTTAAAACTAACTGTGATAATAACAAAAAATTATATAGTGAGCATTATTCATAGCTTAAGTGCATATTGTTAAAATCTTATGTGACAGTGTTTCCTGATCATAGTGGTGCGCCTCTGAGGATGATTCTTTTGAATCGAAACATGTAAGGTGAATAAAGACTGAAGAGTAAACTTGTATGTCACACTGGACTGAAAATTATCCACTTTGTAATTAATAGTGTGACGGACCAGAAAGAGACAAATCATATTCAAATGTTATTTCGTTGGTACGAACAAGTAATCTGCGGAAGAGTAAATCTGGTTTTCGATTTGTTATATGACTATACATGACTGTGTTGCAATTGTTGCACTGCATTGATTGTTCTAGTACAAAATGGGCTCAGAAAAAGGATGTCTGCTTATGGGTGCAATTCAAATTCATAAGCAGACAGAACTGATGTAAGTTTTGAGGTTTTCACGGCGATGACTACGAAGAAAGTCGTCTTCTGGGTTTAGGCGCCGTGTATTCTTCGTTTTGGCTGACGTTTCGGAGAAACGTATCGCCTCCATCTTCAGAGCAGGTGAATGGCTTGGAATGCAGAGAGCAGTAGCTGTGCCAAAACGAAGAATACACGGCGCCTAAACCGAGAAGACGACTTTCTTCATAGACAGAACTGATATTCCCCAGCTCTCCCAGAAATCCATCACAGGGTGCATACTGAATAACATTACTGTTTTATTCATGACTGGCTGTCATATTCGACAATGCCCATTCATAAAGGACATATGTAATTACAAGTGAAGCTGCCCCTCTGTTTAATTAAGCACCACGCCATGAAGGTGTATGGGAAAGCAGAAATATGGATCTACACTTTCTCTACATCGGCACTAATGAAAAGTAATACATTAAAATAAAATTATCTTAATATGAATGTGAAGTAACAGAATTGTTGTTCCCATATGTTATATATAATAAACAACATTTTTCATTATAAATGTATTTTAAATTATAAAATGCCAGAATAATTTGTTTTACTTGTGAAACTGTACATTTTTAATTACAGTGTTTGCTAAGTTGTTGTCATAGGTACTGTTCGTGTTGTAAGACAGTACTGTGTATTTTCATTATCACACTGATTAACTGATTAATGCATTAAAGTATGAGTATACAGGGCCAATTTGCTTCACTATAAATTCTCTCCACTTCCTGCAATACTTTGATACATTATCCCAATTCAAAGTTATTACACACTGCCAGATAAAATCTTTTGTTGTTGGTAATAATAAAAGACTTTGGTAGCACAAGCAATTATATTTTAATTAAATATAATACATACTCTAGATCATAACTGTATTGCACAAAAAATAAAGTACTTCCTTTGTGCTGAGTAATTTTCAAAGCTCATTTGCTAGGTTATGATATAGTTACTTATATGTTTCATCCTTCTGGTTACGCCATACAAGAGTACTGTGTCAGGAATCTGTCATACTGTGTAGAAATAGTTTTATCAGAAAATTAACATTAATATAGACTTAAGAGAAAGAATTAATTATATTACTGTAATACATAAAAGAAAATAGCTACTGCTATTCTAGTGCCACTTCTATAACAGTTCCAATTGACCACCAAAGTTAAAGTCTTAAAGTTACCAGCATATACCGTAGATGCGAGGAAGAACACTGCAGCTGGTTATGAAAAATAATTTCCTCCACAGAATTATAGATCAGGAAGTATGAAAATGGTATAATTAGCACTTGGAAAGCTTCTCCCTAAAGATTTCTGGATAGCCCAGACACTATATTCCTCACTTTGCAGCATTTTGTTGCCTTAGTTCTTAATGGCTCTGTCTCCACATTTTGTGGAATAAAGAAAACAAGGGTATAATGTTTGCGACATGAATAGTACCCACATGAGACAGAACAAAAAACAATTTTTTTTATGTTTATTCTGATTTTATTCAGTTTAATCCTGGATATACAGCCCTTAAGTCCTAACAAACTAAATGCACTTATAACCTGAAAAATAATGGAAACTGGAGATCGCTATTAAGAACTAAGGCAATGATTTGGAAATCTGGCTTATTGCTTATAAAATAACAGAACTGCAGTGTGTGTGTGTTTGTGTGTGTGTATGTAATAACATTACATTAAAAACAAGGTGATACAGTACTCACTGTCACAGTTCAAATTTCCATGAATGGAATAGCAGAATGTCTGAAACTTGTATATTGACATGTTGCAGTTAACTAGTATACATTTCGAGAACCACATCCACAGAATGTTCAGAATATTCATATGAATTCTGGACCATTACACACATAATGATGTGCATTTTGTGCATGAAAAATAACAGCGACTGCTACAGTTTTTTCTTTGCTTTCATAACAATTTCTCAGGTGTATTATCATATGATAAATCACGAATTCGTCAGATGAGGAAAATGTTAGATATTAAAAATGTTGGAACAGGGCTGAAATACAAACATATATAACTTTTGCAATCAAAAATCAAAATGCTGAATTTTATAAATTAAGTCCTCTGTGAGCATATTTTCTGATGTAGGTGTTTCCCACCCCTCATCTGAGGGCAGAAACACATACAGTTTCCAAAATGCTGTGTTCTTTTGTGTTCTTCAGAATACCAGACAGTGGATAAATTCCAAAAACCCAGTACTCCTGAGTGTTCTACACCACTGTCAGAACCATTTAGAATATACATGCTGAACTTTAAGATTATAGAACACAACCTTTTATAAAAAAAATTCCACTACATTAAACAGATCTTGAAGGAACCTGGAAACAAACCTCCCCCTGTCAATAGAGCTAAGTGAAGCCACGACAGGGTGAATGTCTAAAGTCATTTAATTTTTCCTTTTACAGTATGGAAGCACAAGAAATAAGAAAGATGAGAAACATATCCATACAAACTTACAGCATGTTCTTGATAACTAAGGTTATGCCATGCATTTTATCCAAAAAAGGCAGAGATCAATTTGAGAATTAATTTTTGGAGTCTAAAAGGAGTTTGACCCAATGTATTTACCTAATGAAGTTTAATTTGCATAACTTTAACATTTAATTGTGAAACACAAAAACTGTATTAATTATTCACGCCAACTCAGTTCTCTTGTTCTGCAAATATAGCATAAAGCTATTTTGGATATGGTTATGCATGCTACATAATTTCACTTACGTCTCTCAGTGACATCTAGCATGAGCATGGAAAGTCAAGACACCCACATAACAGCTTTCTGCTTCTGTACATGTGTGATTTTAAAACCCTTAAGAACACCAAAAAGAATTTGGATCTGTAATGACTATCAGCAGAAATATGATTACTCCCATTTGTATTTCACAATTCTGTCAGTATTTGGACTATACTGCGCCAAATGATGGAATGACTAATGAACTGAAAAGGATTTCAAATGACGTAGTCATGACCTAATCAAGATGCTCTCCTAGCATTTACTTGGAGGGACTGAGAAAAACAACGAAATACCTCGGTCAAGATACCTGGTGTTTCAACAAAGATCTGAACCAGGCATCTCCAATATTTATCTTGGAGCATCACCATTAGACCAACCTGTCTGGTAAAAGTGAGGGATCACCTTCAAGCTCTGACCATTTGGTACTTGAGGAAAAGTATATAGCATGCATTAATCAGGAGGCTGATTGGATCCCAGAGTCACTTTGGTTATGGCAACAAAGGGAAGAAATTCTTTCTATGCTGGGAAATGAACTGTGTTGATCGAACCTATAGCCAGTCACTTTACTGACAGATATGTGGGCTCACAAAGTTCAAGTTGGCTAAACAGAACTTTCTAAATCACTGTGTGGGCTGCTTTCACCAACTATAATTAATCCAACTTGATGATTAATAACATAATTTTCCTCTCAAGCATGAATATTTTGTTAGTTCAAGTTGCTTCAAGACTTCTAGCCTAATAAATGAAAAATTCAGAGACCAACTGCAGGAGGATGAGTCAATTATTTCTAAATCACAGAAGAGGGAGGTTTCATAGGTTTACATACAGCAGTTTTATCACAGTTTATAGGGCCTTGAATTCCAATACCAAAAAATTATTACGGATTGTTGACATTGCTGACACATGCAGACAATAAATTCAAAACATCTGACCATAAAGTAGATTTGTGTTTAGCCTAAAAAATAGGACCAATTCCTGATTATATCTTCGGCATTACTCTTCTGAACATTCTGTAGTTCACTGGTACCATCACTTACACAAACAGTACAAAAATGCAAAGAGACAGTTGATGAGTCATTAGGCTGAATAAAGTTTTAAATGCTGAATATCAGTCTAGTGAACAGAACCACAATTCTACTATCCCATCTCTGATGCCACACATCATCAATCACATGGTTGAAACTGAACAGAAATTCTATGTTAGGATACAAAGTAATAAGTTAACATGGAATTATAAATCGCAGCAAGTCATATGATGGGACTTACTTCACGAGCAGGTCATAGTCTGCATAGCCAGCCCTGTGGCTGTTGATGTACTTGGCATGAATCTCAGGCTCAAGGTAACTCATTTTTACACACTCTTCTTCCTTCATTGCATTCCTCCACTCCATCTGAAAAACAACACTTCCAGTCATAGGCCAATATAGTCATAAGCTTTTAGTCATTCCTAAGACAAAAGGTGCCTCCTGAACATGAAAACCATGCCATGAAAATGCATAGGGGGAAGGGGGTAAACTTCATGCAATCTTAACCTTGGAACTAGGAGGAGGTGAGTGGTGAGACTCACACTCCAGCTGCCTTACCTCCAGTAGACTCCAAACAGGGAGTTGGGTGGAACCCAGAGATAGTCTGCATATATGGATCCCTACATCCCTTGCTAAGTTATCCTAGCTCAGAACTTTATTCATACATACAAATGAAGTTACACAAAGCAATAGTGTATGGGGAAGGACTTATAAACATGTCAGATGCATTAGATAATAAATAAACAGTACAAGTATGGTCCTTTAAATATTTAGGAAATCTAATACACAGATACCATGACAGCTTTGGAAAATAAGAGGCAAACACTGATACATACAAGTGGCATATATGCACACACAAGGGAAAAGAAACCTCCAGGAGTACATATAAATAAGACTGTGCCCTGTCTTACTGCTTCAGAAGAGGCAGCGGGCTTTTTAATCTTTATTCTGATCTTCTATATCATGTGGAGTGATGGATCAAGATCCTTACTTCAACAAATATGATTAGAAAAGAAATTAAGCATAATGACTTGTGCCAGGCTTTTGTGACTCTGGTAATGAACCTTCTTTAAATGGTTCTGAAGAGGTTTGTTAAATTGTGAGAAATTTGGGTTTGATAATATAGTAGTGTTCAAAAGTCTTCATCCATTTGATTTTTGGGCAATAACTTTAGGTAGATATTTCAGTTTGGGACCAAGTATGGATAAAGCACATATGGTAATGTGCTGAGTTTATCACAATATTCTGCCATTCAAACGTGGCATTACAGAGAAACAACCACAAAAGTATAAAAATTACATGCTTGAAGGTCTTCACCCATTTTTTTTTTCAATTGTGCAAAAAAAAAAGCCTATTTCAACCAGTGTGTACAAACAACCACAGGAAATTAACAGACCATGCTAGGATAGGAAACTCCTGATTATCTGGTATCCAAACATCAAAGTTGCAACAATTTCAAAGGAAATTTACTGTTTTTATGAAGTTATTCTAAAACAAAATATTCTTTCATCATCCTATCATCCAGTGCTATAGTATAGTACTGCTACTATTGATACTGAGAGCATTATTAAATAACCAACCTAAGGAAAGAACTCCCTTACAATGCCATCAGTGAGATGCAAAGGACTGATACAATTTTGACTAAAGATGCTGCACATCATATTGTTACCTCCACAATGTTTAGCTGTGGGCAGCTGGTATTTGGAGATCTGCAGTCAAACCTTTTGTCAACTGGACATCTTACGTACTGCAAACCATCAGAACCAAACATGCTGAACTTAACTCATCAGTTGACATCACTTCAATCCACTCTTTAATAGTCTAAGTGTTCATAATCCCTGCCATATTGAAGTCACACCCTCTTGATTCTTTGTGATGTTTCTGAAACATGTGTCTGATTGTTTTGTCATTTGTTGGAGTAGTAATTTTTTATTTTTCTGATTTGGAAGAGCAGTGTATAGTGCCATAAGCAAAGATACTGGTTACCACAGCCTGGGGAATATGGAACATATTCAAGATGGTGCCATATGACTGCTCATGTGAAAGTGATTCAATTGTGTGCTACAGTGGAGGTATCTCTGAGGAGGCAGCCTAAAGTATCACAGAAGACAAATTATAATGTGATGAAAGAAAAGTACATAAGAACAAAAACTTCATTTGAAAAACAAAATGGGCCAATACTTTTAAATGCACCATGTTTATATTTTTCTGGTCGATTCTCTGTAAGGTCATGTTTGAGTGATGTGAATATTGTGATAAGCTCAGCTTATTACCCTGTGTTCTTTATACATATTTGGTACAAAATGGAAATTTCTAACAAAAGTTATTGCCAAAAAGGCCGCACCATAGCTTGAGCGGTTACTTGCTAGTTTCCAACCACGGCAGCCCGGGTTCGATCCTGGGTCTGGTCAAGTGGGGTTTGTGGTGGACAAAGTGGCGCTGGGGCTGGTTTTCTCCAAGTACTTCGGTTTCCCCTGCCAATCTTCATTCCACCAAATTCTCTATCATCATAATCACCCGGGACAGGATACAATAGGCCAATCAGTGGCTGCCATGCCGAGTGGAACCAGTTGGACTCCAACCCCCATTAAGAGAATTTCTTTTTTAAGTTCTATTGTGAAAAAACCAAATGGATGATTTTTCAGTGCTAATGCATGTCATACAAGATTATTAGATATATGAAGAAGTGAAAGAACTTGTAAATAGAATGGGTGAAGGGAGATGGTAGAAGTAACCACTGAATTATAAAACCACAGGGTGGAGGGTAAGAAGAAAACTAAGTGATGCTTGACAGGAGATTCCAATGTGGCTGTATGTATTTAATTTCCCAGTATGTGCTAACAAGATCTTGGGTACTATGGATATATAAAAATATAAAACCTAGAGAAGCTTTTACTCTCAGCACTGCGTCACTAATAATGATATAGGAATCAGGGGGTTTCAGTCACTGCAAAAGCAAAGGATTTTCCAGTGTGCTGACCAACTCTAGACCCTAACTGGCCTCCTATCCAATGGGTACTGGGGCTCCTTCCCCAGCGGTAAATCAGCTGGGACATGAAGTTGACACTCACCTCTGTCTACAGTTGAGATTAAGAATGCATGGAGCTGAACATCACTTCCCCATATGTCTTTATGGCATGATGTTTAATTTAGCACAGGCACAACTTTACCTTATCATTACATTAGAATCAATTAAGGCATAGAAAATGCGCAACACACATTACTGATCTGTGTTCTTCCTATGGGTCTGTATAAAATATTATCATTACAGTGCTTCAGAATTAAACATAAATGGTCTTTTATCAAAAAAGACTCCTAGCCTAAGTAAAGTTCAAGCAAAATACAGAAAGAACTGAAAGATATGAACTATGTGGGAAGCATGAGACCAAGGCCTAGGTTGAACTGTAGTTTCATTCATTTGGGAAAGAAGTAAGACAAAATTTGTGCTTGTTGTTTTCTTTCTTACTTCCTACTGCTTACTTTGTGTTGACAGCATTCAAATGGTGCTGATATCATGATGCTCCTACTACAATTCTAAACTATGAACAACAATCCTGATTTGGTTCAAATCTGTTCTAGATTTGTGTTATCATTACTTAACGAGTAAAAATTGCCTATGCTATTTTATGCTTCCTCCCCAGCGGTGACTTGGCATCGGAGCGCTGTCGTTACTACGGCAACAGGCAGGTCAACAACCCCCCCCCCTGCCAGTGGTGACGTGCCAAGCAGAGCCGCCCTCAGTGGACAGGAAACCTGAGGTGGCCCAACAACGAGAAGTCCTCTACGAAGATGCCATAGTCAAACCGGTCAAAGGATGGAAGAAGCGGTATAGGGGCAAGAAGCAAGCTGCAAGGCGATGTGGGGAGCCACTGGAACTAACCCGAGGAATCTGTGGATCCCGGATGAAGTTGGCAACTGCCTGCAGGAAGGTGTCCCGCCATGCAACAGTGGCATGGCGCAAGAGTAACATCTTCAAGAAATCTACGACCCAAGGAAATTGTGGACCGTAGCACGAATTGGCTGCCGACAGAAATATGAACAGTCGTGCAGGTGCAACATGGCGCAAGGAAGATCCCGTAAAGAAATATTCAACCAGGGTCAATGCTGGACAAGAAGCCTGGAAAGGGAACCGTGACAGGACAAGACGTCTGGGAGGAGGCGTCAGCCGCAACGGAAATGCAGCGAGGCCATAAGCACCCAAGATGTGGAGGAACTGCTATGCCTGAGAGAGAAGATCATCAATGTGATTTTCAGAGGAAAGTTCGGGAAACAAGTAGTCGGTACTTCCAACGGGTTATGGAAAATAAGAAAATGGACACTGTGGAGGGGTCGACCCCCACTTCTGACACCAAATGTAATGTGTTTTGTTACTGAAGATGCTGTTCAGATTGTTAGTTGGTTTATTTAACAACCTACAAGTCTTGGTTACAATTAATTATAACGAAGTAACAGGTATTGACAAATTATAAACCCTACAAAATGATCTGTCAATAGTCTTCTTCACGTAGTTATAACGTGGGAGCTATACGAGTGTCACTGTATTACTCACTTCTCAGTTGTCGCAAATTATCACTGAGTATCACACCATAACTCTTCTGATCACATGTTCGGGTCTTCTCCCTGCGATCACTAAACTGCAACTCACTCCGTGGCTGCTGCCTTGAAAACTCACTTCGGCGGCTGCTTCATTTTAAACTGTCTTCATAGGCAGTGTAGTTCTCTTATAAACTCTCAGCCGGACAACGGGAAACGCCTCGCTTCCTTGTTGCCTAGTCGCCGTGTTTAACTGTTACATAATGGGTACTGCTGCTTATTACCATCGTTTCTAGCAACCACTGTTTACTCGCTTTGCAAAGCGACCAGTGTGCTTGGACTCGGCTCACTTCGGCTCCGCTCGGCACGTCACCGCTGGTGGGGGGAGGGGGGGTGTTCACCTGCCTATTACCGTAGCAACGGCAACGCTCCAAAAGTGTTACGTCACCACTGGCGGGGTGAGGGGGTGTCCTCCATAGCGCAAGACGTCACTATATATATATGACTCTGGCTGTTAAGTTGAGGGAGACTAATGTGGACAGAGAGGAATGCCTGTGTAAGAAAATACCGAGCCATTTCATTATGAGCTTTCAGGAGGTATTTCAATACTTAATTGGGACTATTACAGAGGAGTTAGTAGTAGAAGCCTTGCCTGAAATAACTGAATACTGGTATGAGCTTTGATATTCTCGTGTCTTCTGGGATATGACACTGTGTTTTTGGGTAGAAAGGACCCTTCTGTCTTCACCTTCAGGGTGGGAGCTGATGGAGGCAGCAGGTTCCTCCAGAATACTGGTATCTATCCACCAAACTACAACGTGTCACATCACAGAAGACCATGATCCTAACTAAATAACCTATTTTGAGCACTACATTCTCAAAATAATAAATAATGTAATCAAGCAATCACATTAAGTGTGTCAGGTGGAAACAAAAACGTAATGGAATGACCTTAGCAAGTCCACAGGTATTTTTGAAGTGTTGTGACTCCCTGAAAAGTCACAGGTGCCTCCCCCCTCCACAAATCCTTTCACAATTTCCAAAGTATATTACAAGAATTATGATTTATATCTGCATTATAAGGCTGAATTATTAATATATAAAGTAGAACATTTGCCTGTGCTGAAATAGACCAGCTACAATTGCTTGAACAGTATCTGCAAAGAAGTGTTTTGATTGGTTGATTTACATCAAGAAATGTTTTGATTGGTTATTTTCATAATTCTTACTGTCATCACATTATATAACAGGGCACCCTTTCCATCAGCCACAGTCAAATCTTGACTGTAAGGCTCATCACATAACAGTTTAATTGAAAATATATTTAAAACAAAAAAGTTGAGAGTCAAGTGGTACAATAGTTGGTTCAGGCACTATGCTACATGTTGGAAAGTGGTGGGTTTGACTCCTGATGTCACTGGATTTTTCAATTGACTTAATACTTCCAGCTGCACTATGGCTCTGGGGTAACGAGCAGCTGGCACATAATACTGAGAACCTCACCGCCACCTGTGAGCCAACTTTCTAGAAAATGTGGAAGCCTTGACATCTCAGAACCCTATGGGCCTTCATGGCCTGTGACAGGGATAGCTTTACCTGTTCCCAATAAAGTTGCTGCCCCAGAGGTTTCTCTATTAACCCGTTGCCGTGGTTCGTCGTGTATGTTTCGTCAGGGATTTAAATCGTCTGGGGGGGTTCGACGTGTATGTTTCGTTCAGCTGCACACCTATGTTATAACGCCCATAATAATTGATGGTTTTGCTGTAGATTGTTAGATTTTTCGCTGGCCTGTTGTCAGTAGAACAGAGTATAAATAAGACACGACTTTATCTGTGCCAAGTCATCGTTACATATGCCTGTCTTGCAGCAAAGTTCCTGTGGTTCTGGCGAGCGGTTTATAGCTGTACTGTTATGAAGGCGTGTTTTCTTTGCTTTGGAAGATATAAACAGAAGAGACGTGATGTTTACTGTTGTATATGATATCATATTACCCTGAGCTGGCCACATTGACACACTCAACTGAAATTCTTAGAATAGGGTTGTCCAGTAATTTATTCTCGCATTATCCATTGATTTCGCACAGTACAAAGGCCCAGTTCTGAGAAAAACGCCACAATTTAAGGCAGAACACTGTGGTCACCCCCTGAGACGATACGGATGTGTGTGGGGGAGGGAAAAAGAACTCATTCCTTCATGTATTATCGCTCAAGTTGACGCCATTTTATCGTACTGACCTTGGTGGTCGTTTCGAGGGATGACCATAAATATTTTTTTGAGCCAGCTAAGCTCTACTTTCGTTCACTAGATACCAGACAGTTCTTAGAATAACTTCATGAATTCTGTGGTCACCCCTACGACATCTCCTGCCGCCAAAATGGATGGAATATCAAAGGCATAGCAACAACCCCTTGTTATGATAACTCGTAACGTTGAATTTACTACAGCTGACCTGGCAACTAAACGGGTCACGGAAAGACATTTCCTTGAAGTATACCCCTCACGGGTAAGAAGGCAAGGCCGCACATATGTGTGGTTAAAAAAAAGGCCAAAAAAAATACACAATATTGGAGCGGAGAATGGTGAACGTGGGGCACCGTTGGGTTATACGAATGCTTCAAGGCCTTCCTTCTACTAAACCAACTGCCTCCATTACCGAGATACAGGGCGCTCATATTATAAGGTAAGGTTATAAAAACCATCTTTTAAGATCATTTTAGTGAAAGTTTCATGCTTCAAGGCGTACCATTCACTGCTCAAATACTAAAAAACCTGCTTCCATTGAAGATATAAAGGGCGCTCATATTATAAGGTAAGGTTATAAAACCACCTTTTAAGATCATTTTAGTGAAAGTTTCATGTTCCTATCTCATAGAATTTAAGAACAATGATGAATAAATCATTTTCGAGCAAAATTTAAATGGCCGGCTGAATATATTACCGCAGGAGACGCAGCCGCGGAATTTAAATTACCGCGTCAAAGGGTTAAAATCCTGTATGCATTACTGGTCTTCCCCACCTAGCCTCTAAGTTCAGCTCACTGTAACTTACTAAATATGATGGCCCTAAGGGTGATAATTAGGTGACCTGTAAACATTGCGAAAGATAATTCAAATAAAGAACTCAGTAGATGAGTTTATTTACTAGTCTCAGGAACCGCTCCCTGGGTAGCACAAACTGGTCTCCTCCCATGATTTTAAGCATTTCTGACCTCTCACACCATGGCCAGATCATGTAGTCCAGCATCCCTGGCTTATCTCCTGCAATTACAAACAGAAGCATGACAATGATACTGAAGTGCTGATTACTGAATTAAAAATTCTTTCCTAAGTTTACAGTTCTCAAGTTAACTGTCTGTGTCTGCTAGGTTGACTACTGTTTCATAATCATGTGAATAGTGTTTTCATTTTTAGCCTAATTTCCTTATTTTATAATGATAGATAAGTTTATGGCACCATCATGATTGTCTTTCTTGTCACCCATCTGTGAATCTGTCCTCTGTAACAAAATCTGAACAAAATGACAGCTGTATATCATATCATTTGAGCATGCACCAGTTTTGTATGTTTTAAAAATGTTTTATTTTAGCGTCCTGCTACACTGATTCATGTCCATGGTTTATTCTGACTATCTTACAGTGTATACACTTTTTTCACCTTATTCTTCACTTCCACACTACATGTTTCAGCCCTAATGTGCCATCTTCAGGTGTCTTTATGCACGTTAAACTATTGTACTGCATGCCATAATGTCTTCATTCTAAAATGACTAAAATCTGTATTCGTCATATATGTCGATGAATTCTAAATAATAAAACTTTTCAGGATTCTTCCTACGTCGCACTCAAACACGCGAATTATGCCAATCCTCTTTTATGTGAGCATTCTTCCTACATACATTTGTGTATCTGTAATGTGAAATTGTTACTGCAGTACAATGCATGCAGTAACAGGAGCAAAACACAACACAGAACACGATACACAAATATATGTAGGAAGAATGCTCACATAAAAGAGGATTGGCATAATTCGCGTGTTTGAGTGCAATGTAGGAAGAATCCTGAAAAGTTTTATTATTTAGAATTCATCGTCCTATATGACGAATACAGATTTTAGTCATTTTAGAATGAAGACATTATGGCATGCAGTACAATAGTTTAACGTGCGTAAAGACACATGAAGATGGCACATTAGTGCTGAAACATGTAGTGTGGAAGTGAAGAATATTGTATGTTTTAATTTATTGCTACTACTAATAATACCAAACATGGTGGGGGTTTGAACTTCTGAGGTCAGAATAACACTAATATTATTTAATGCATGACCATAAAAATTTTACATGGCAAAAGATCTTAAATAAATATTCAACTCTTGTTTATTCCATTTTCTACAAAATTTAAAGAACACTGGCAGTAGTATGAGATCTGTAATTAAGAATCCTCTTAACAGTGATGATTAATGAACCACTTGAGGAGCTACACATACGAGATTTTGTATAAAAGCAAATTATAAACTTACTTACAAATTCTGTATGGTTTCCCTTTATATCAATAATTACATGTCAGTGGTGTGAAACTCTTGAGGTCACAGCTGACAAATTTAAAGTAGCAGAAATCTGTACTAGTGAAAATTACTGACAAGAAGGTTTCACTGTGCAGCATACATATTACTCTGTAGTTCCTGCTAGCCAGATTACATATGAGTACAATGATACATCTGAAGGAAAGTAGAGATCAAAGTTTTTTTCAAAACGTTTAGTTTTAAAAAGTTTGCTCCAGTTTGCTTATTTAGATAAACTAATTGAACATATATATGATAAGTCCATTTACAGTATCAACATATACATTCACTATGAGTGACACTCTTAATACTGGTATTCAATATTTACAGCGCATACCTCCAAAGAACGGTTTTGATCTTGACACAATCTCCCTCTCGAAGACATCCAATGCCTTCATAACAGGGTCTAAGAACTCTTTGTCCATGTTTTGATAAAGTCTGTACAGATTTGAAATAACCTGCAAGTATAAAAAGTACATATCACTACAACTTAACAGAATGTTCTTCTCCATTTGTTGGTATGTGCAGTCTAAAAAATTAGGTGAAGCCAATATGAATACTGATATATTGGGTTTTTGGACTTTATCCATCGTCCTGGTTTTTAAGATAACTAATAAAAACACAACGTTTCGGAAACTGGATCTGTTTCCGTCCTCAGGTGAAGGAAAACACCTATTTGTTGGGTCCGTTAGAAAGAGCTAGCCTCAATCACTGGAAAAACTGAGGATAGCTCTTTCTAACGGACCCAACAGAATAGGTGTTTTCCTTCACCCGAGGACGAAAACAGATCCAGTTTCCGAAACGTCATGTTTTTATTAGTTATCTTAAAAACAGGACAATGGATAAAGTCCAAAAACCCAATATATCAGTGTGTTATACACCATCATCAGAATGCTATAGTAACTACCAATATGAATAGTTTCATTGGCCAAATTAATATAAACTTTATGGATACTGGCAATATAACATTAAAAGAACAGTCCTTCATAAGAAGCTGATAAATAAATTCCTCACCTTTCATGGGAACCAAAGTTTTATTAATTTATTAATTAATATACAAAAGCCTGCTACTAGGCCCAGACTTGAGCCACTTTAATCCAGCCCACATCTTATTTATTTCAGATCCATTTAATACCACCCTTCTATCTACAAGTGCTCTAAATCCTTCAGGTTTCCCAGTGAAAATCTGCAGACACTTCTCATGGCTCCCATGCATGAGGCATGTCCTGCCCATCTCACTCTCTTTGATTTGATCACCATAATAATAACTGGAGAAAGATGAAGTTCTTTATTATGCAGTTTTCTCCAACCTTCTGTTATTTCATCTTTCTTAGATCCAAATACTCTTTTCAACACTTTGTTTCTGACAGACCAACTTGCACATCCATACAGAGTGGATAAAATTATACATTAATCTTTTCAGCTTGGAGATGATGACAAATTCTGAAATGAATGGTACAATTACATGTAATTTTGATTTGTTACTGTTGTCTCAAACTGTTTCAGCTTCATACAGCTTCAAAGGATTTATTAGCTGTCTTTATGTTAAAATTTTGTCCTACATTCTGGTGGACAAACATAAACATGTATTTAGTTTTCTCTCAGCTTGCTTCTAGACAAACATCTAATAGCATGTCAGTGTTGATGTGTTACAGTAAAGACCAACACACTTCTTAAGCACCCTCTGCGAGCAAAGTGTTATTTCACGGCAATTGCCATGTCATACACATGTAACAGCTAGACTTGCCTCTTTACAAGAATGAACTAATTCTCATATGGAAGACTGACCCTTTAACACATACACACAACAGCAGTCAAAACATTCCATGTCAGTATACTGACCTTTAGTCCATGCAAGGTTAATGTGAGATAGTCCTTATGTCCTTTCCAAACAAACTTTATTAATATAAAATTGTTTCGCACTGCAAGAGGTTTAAAGACAAATTCTAATCTCCAGCAAAGTTTTATAACTTATTTAAAACCTAGAGCATGAGGCATTTTCATAATAATTCCTGTCAGCACAGTTTATTACAATACTGATGTTTATAAGAAGATAAAATATCCTCATATATTGAATGTACTTGTATTCTTGGGTGAATCACTTCACACTCTTAGGTTTAATACTGTACACACAAAATAAATACAACCGGTACAAACCTTATTGAACTGATCTATCAATAGTTTGTCTTTTGCTTTCTTCAAAGGATCCTTTGGATATAATGGTCTATGTGGATATTTCTCATCGAGGTAATCTGCAATGATCATACTCTCGTAGATGCAGTCTCCCGATTCCAGTTCCAGGGCTGGAACCTTTCCCAGGGGGCTTTTCTCATACAACCATTCTGGTTTCTCTGTTAGATTTACATTTACTACATCATATCTGCAAAAGAAAATGTAAATTTTACCGAAAGTTTCAAAATTATAAATATTTAAGGGAAGGAATTTTATGTCTACATTACAAGGTATGGATTTACAATAGTCACCAGTGACATTTTCACACTGGAATTTCACTGAAATGTCACATGTGTCACTCCAGCACCAAAGCTGGGACTATGATGGAGATTAAGTCTGTATACCCAGACTGCAGTGCTTTGGTAACTGACCTACAAGAGCAGTTGTCCAGCTCATGTTTTGTTTATGGCACAACTGAACTTAACAGTGGAGATAATGTTATTAATAGGATGAGTGAACATGAGAAACATGGCAGATGATAGCAGGAAGATGGAGAAGCTTTTGATGTCAGTAAATGTGCTATGTATTGCTAGTAAAAGCCTCCTAAGATTTTCTTGAAATCACCAAGTTTTAAGAAAATACTGCATATAACGTAACATATACAGGATGTCCCAGGAGGAATGGACCAAACTTCGGGAGGATGTTCCTTATGTTAAAGTATGCCGATATAACCCAAAACACCTATGTCCAAAGTTGAACGGTTACGGAGATAATGGCCCGGGAAAAGTGTGGTCTTCTGGCAGGTCCACGCACTANTACCTGTCAGCTGGCATGTCTTATCTGTTTGTCCTTGAGTGTCGTGATTCACACTAGCCGTAAGCTCATGCGCTAACTACAGAGTACATTGCGGCGGGGTCGTGATTAGTTGTGTGATGAGTTGCTGAAATGCCTCTTGTGTCTTGTGTCCACACGTGGAATATTGTGATATGCATTTTGTGTGTGGATTTTGCGGTGGCAATGCACGTGCTGCTGTTGAAGAATACCAAAGGCGTTTTCCCGATCTAAGGATTCCATCTCGAAGTGTATTTACGTGAATTCACCAGA